ATGGGACTGGATCTCCTGGTCTCCTGGGATGGGTACTGCAGGTTTGTTAGCAAGAGACACAGCGGCCTGGCTACCCTCTTCCCCGAAAAAGAAAAAAACCAACCCACAAACAAACCCAAAACAGACATTTAGAACTAAATCTAAAATCGTAATAATCTGCGTGCTAAAGCCTAAACTGTAAAGATCACATTAAATTCAATCAGAATCAAAAAAGACCAGTAGCAAGGGGTAACACTGTTTTACAGTCATTGCACTGGAGGTGGAAATGGAGCTGACAAATGAGAAACAAACTTTCCCAGCAGCAGCTACATCTCCAGATTTGGAAGCTTTTTACTTTTTCTTTCGGTGTATTTTCAGGTCAGTAACTGGCTCATTCTGAGCTGAGAAACACAAAGGTTTGGAAAAAGAAAGAAGGTGTGCCTTTTATCTTTTCCATAATCAGGGAAACAAACACACCGACAAACTGAGGGGGGAGAAGATGAGATGCGGGTTGTTTCCAGAAACACTCCTTCAACTCACCGGTCGCTTCTTGCTTTGGTTTCATGCACCAGGTGTTTGTAACTAAAAAGTATTCCGAAATTTACTTCTCTTTCTGTAACGAGTGTACGAAAGGGAAACAGGGTTTTACTAATAAAATCAATTCACATTACTGCTGAGGTGTTTTAGCATCGTGCTCCAATTTTCATCCGAAAGCACCACAACTCAAATCACGAGTAATAACTTAATCACCACCTCCTTAATAACAAACAGTAATTCACCATATTTCTGATGTAACAAATATCTAAAAACGAAGACTAAAGGCGTACGATCGATCACACATAATCGATCAAACTAAATGTAGCAACTATAGGACACCTGATGAATAAAAGAATAACCAGATTTGACAACCGGGCAGTGGTAAGGAGAGCGGCACTTGGTTTGATAGGTGCTGGTCAGGAAAGCTTCATCTTTTTTAGGGAAACAGGTTAAAAAAGAAAAGAAATGCAAAAATAGAAAACATTTAGTGAATCCAGGTGCCGTGCTGATGGATTTAAATCGCAACTACAGCCTGGGATTTTAATCCTTCTGATTTATAGCAGTCTCTGAAAAACAGTAGAGAGCCCCCAGCGCAAGAACCCAGCTCCAGTGGCGTGGAGCCCGTGAATGCCAGTTTTCGCGTGAGAGTGCCAAGACCCCCATGACAGGCTACAGCTCTTTTTTGGCAAGCAGCACCTCAAACACATGCTTTAAGAACAGCCACGTGCACACGTCTGTAAGGTAACTTCTTGGCAAGATTCAACTTCATTTTGTTGAGGGCCAAGAAAACACCCGGCAAAAGGAAGTTCCTCACCCCAAGATCCTACAGCCCATGCTAGAGCTGACACCCATGGAATCCATGTTTGAGGAGAGATGGAAGCTTTCCCATCTCCCAAGGATTTTCTGCATCCTCACTCTCTGGAGCAGGACTTTCCTAGCTCCTTATTCTGCCCAGCACTTCTCAACAAGCTGAAATGCTGACATTCTCCCCCTTCCTTTGCCTTTTCCCTCCCAAGCAAACAATCGCATCACACCCTTACCCATCCAACCCCAAGGCAGCTGTATTTTCAATGAATGCAAATGCACTTTGCTGTATTTGGTGACACAAAACACTCTGGTGACACAAGCCACTTTACTAACGCCTTGACAAGATTTGCGGCTTGCTTGCTCGTGAGTAGAAACCAGACGAAAGCTGGAGTGCGAGCCCCGCTCAGCAGCTTGCTGCTGCGTATTCCCAGCCATATATCCCAGGGGATGCAGTCGGAGACACCACCGTGTTCCATCCCGAGCCCCTCCTGCCTGCATGCAGCCAGTGCTAAAGACAGGGTTCCCATCCAGAACCCAGCCTTGGCCCCACAGGGTGGCGAGTGCTCTGAACTCCTGGATTTTGAACAAGATGAAGGAGATGAGATGAAGCACGGAGTGGGACTAGTCCCGGAGCATGCCAAGTGCAGGGATTTGGAGCAGATATCTGCTGAGCCAGTGAATCAGTGTGATGTGAAAACAAAGCAATACACAGTCCATCAGGCGAGACGGCAAAATTCCTTGTAAATTGTTTGCAAAAACAAGTGGCCGGCCATCCACTGCAATTTTTCTGTCAGATTTGAAGGGAAGCATTCACGTTGCACATCCCTGCATAAGCGAGCTGAGGCTTCACAGGACAGCCTGCATCCCTCTGGACTGCTCCCCACGCTGCCGGGAAAGGGGCCATGCGGAGGCTTTCCTGCTCAGCATGGCGCTGGTGAAACCACCGTGGCTGGCCAGCACGCTGCCTTGCTCCCTCCTCAGCCCTCGTCGTTTTGCAGACTTCTGGGCACCAGCAACCCACGAGGGCCATGAGAGTCAGGGGCTGACCCTGCTGCCTTGGCAGCCCTCGGGACCCCTCTTTCAGCTCCTCAACTTCCCTCGACCGTGCTGCACTCTGGGACCAGACACCAAAGCGAAGGGAGGCTCTAGACCGCATGGAGCATCCCCAGAGCCACAGCCAGCTCCTGTCTCACTGTGGGCAGCAAGAGGTGGGCAGGCAGCATGCTTTGCCGTTCTCCACTCTCTTCTTCCAGCAGCAGTCCTTGGGAAGGGGTCATTTATTTGGCTGAGTGGGCAGGGCTGTGTCAGGGAGGGAAGAGGAGGGCAGCCCTAGGCAGGGAAAGGGTGGCTCCTCCCAGCCCTGAAGCAAGAGCAGTTGGGAGGGTGAAGGAAGAGACTCTGAGGACTGCTCAGGTCACTGGGTGACTGTCAGCAGTTGGAATGACTGTGCCCAGTCCCAGTGGCCAATATAGAAGGGCTTGGTTGTGCAGGACTGACACTGGCTTCAGGATGAGGCAGCGAAGCCGGACCCAAGGAAGCCAGGCTACCTCGGCAGTGAGCAGTCCCCCCTCAGCCCTGGGCCTGGGGACCTCTCGGACTGTCACTAGACCCAAGGCTTGATCCATGGCTAGGACCTGAGAAGCTAACAGACCGGGAAACAAAGTGGCCAGAAAGCGAGGAATCTGGTACTCTGACAAAATGCCAATCAAGGCATGTCTCCAGGAGTCAGCATTGCCCCAAGCCCTCTCCCAGGCTGGACGCCAAGCTACCAAAAGCCAGCAGCCCTGACACTGTGGCCAGCAGCCGTTCTCCCCAGATGCTGTTCAATGAGCCGTGACTCCAGCTCACTCCCAGGGGCTCAGCTGGCAGTAAAGCCACCAGGCATGGGGTGCCAGTGGCTGCCACCTCTGTAGGCAGGAGGAGGATAGCAGACACCCCGAGCAGAGCTGGTCTGGACCCAGCCCAAAGGGAGAGGCCAGCAGGCTGCAACTACAGGGCACGTGTGCACCGTTGGCAGTGCCAGGGAGATGGAGACTGTCACTGCTGGCCTGGCATCCTTTACAGCACCCATGTAAACCCCATTCCAAACTGTGTGAAAGGCAGGTTTGCCACTGGGATGGAGCGCTGCAAGAAGAGAGCTTGGCCACTGGGCCTTGCTTCTCCACAGGCCACCCCCTGTGGCTCTCCCTATACCAGGAAGAGCTGGGAGTGCTCCCCCAACAGAGGGAGTTTGTCAGAAATGAAGAAGGAAAACCCTCCTAAAGGACTGGAGTAGGGAGGGAACAGCATCTCTCTGAACTCCATCATGCAGAGAGACACCTGTGCAAGACCACAGCACTGAGATAAACACGGGCAGAAACCCACAGCAAACAGATGATACTCCAGAGCTGGGAACACTTTGTCAGAGTAAGAGACGACAGCAACAGAGAGCTCTTGCCATAAATAAAACGAGGAAAGACAAGGCACAAGTCAACCCCACATCCCTCAGGAGACACTAGGAAAAGCCCAAGCCCCCAGCGCAGGACACACACCCAACCCCCAACCCCTGCAATCCCCGCTCCTTCCCCGTGATCCCAACATGGCACACAAGCAAGGCAAATCTGCTCCCAGGCAAGGAAGCAAATTTTAATGCTACCTCCGTCAATAATGCAACCAGATCCATAGTTCAAAAGGAGCTTGCTAATTAAAAGCTGGTGAGCTTTAAATAATTCATCTCCTTAACTTGGATTGATTGGAGAGTTTAATGGTTAGTCTTGAAACAATATTAAACAGTCTCCTCAAGGCCCTGGTAGCTGGTGACTTTTCCAAGTAAATCTTACCTCCTTGCAAACTTTACTGCTCACAAGTCACCGTGGATGAAGGGCTGGGAGGCAGAGGGAACACCTGACCGCTGGTCTCTAAGAGGTGATCCAACGGCCGGCACAGAAACAAGACAGGCAAGAGTGACACAGCCCTGAGTCACAGCCCTGCCTACGGTCTGAGCTCCTGCCCGTACTGCTGCCTGCTGCTGCCCCAGCTCTGTGCCCCGGCGTCAAGCAGTGAGCAGATACATGGCCTCAGCATCCCGGGCCAGATATCCCTCCTCATATCACTTTGATCCCTGGTGCAGAGGAGCCAGAGGAAACATGGATCTCTTCCACTGTGCATGGTAGTCTCAGATGTTTATCTTGGAGCAGGCTGTGGGACCATGAAGCTCATCACACGTGTGAGCCAACGGGGCAATGATTCAGTTCTCCAGCCAGGGCTGTACGCCTCCACTCTGCAGCACGTTTCCAGCCAGCTCCTGAGGCTGTGCTGCCTGGCAGAGCCTCCCTTCCAAGGATGAACACAGCTGGAGGACTGGCCTGACAGGAAGGGACCCCTGCCCTGTGCTCCAGGCACCGCATGAGCCCTGACGCTGCCCACATCCACCCCCAGCCCAAGCCAGAGTGGCTGAAGAGAGGAGCAGCTTGACAGACAGAGGGATGGACAGGTGTGTTTGCCACCCTGGGATGTGCCAGGGACCGAAAGCTTACCCCGTGTGCCTGTCCTGCCCTCCTTTCCACCAGTCGGAGACACTGGAGCTCTTTGGCTGGCTCAGCACCCCAGCCTGGACCAGCCCTCGGAGCCGAAGCACACCCCGTGCACCCAGAACAGCAGCTGTGGGGATGGGAAGGGCACGGGGCAGCATCACTCACCTATCCCGCTGTGAGGCCTCCCTATGTGCTGTAGGTTCAGTCCTTTGTTCATGTCTAAGAGCCCGTTCTTTGGCCAACTCCCCATGGCAAAGCTGTACGCCTGGAAGAGAGAAGCAGAGGGTCAGACGGGTGCCCAGCCCATGTGCCACCATGTCTTGTCCTCGCCCAGGTCCGGCTGCTCCTGGGGCTGGCGTGGGTCTGCGTTCACCGGGTTGAGCCGCTCTCCTGAAGCCCCCTGCACAAAGCACCCTCACCCCGGCCTGTCCCACCTGATGCTCCTCAGAGGTGGCCAGAGCCTCTGGTGGTGTCCTGCGCAGATGACAACCCTCACGAGGTTTGCTGGGCACTGTGCCAGACTGCCATCACTCAAGGCCACCTTCGCCGTGCTGGGGTGAGCCAGGGGATGCGACCTCATCCCACATTTCCCTGGGTTGCTCCAACATCATCCTCCCATTCCTTCTTCACCAAGGACGGGGTTGGCACCAGGAGTCAGGGAGGTTTGCCCATGCCCAGACTGATCTGACGGGCAGCCCCCTCCCCTCCGGCAAGCACAGCTCTCCCAGCCTCCCCTCTGCTTTCCATCCCCAGATCGCAGTTACCCTGGGGCTCTCCATCACTGGGAGACACCCCACTGGGAGCCAGCACTGCTCCCCCCACTGCACAGAGCCCGCGGCCTGGCCAGAGGGACCCTGCTCCACCCCTGACGCGCTCCCTGGCAGTGCTTCCAGCAGCAGCGAGGCAGCCGGGAGCCCGAGCAGCACAAAACCCCACCGGCCACCGCCAACATGGACGCAGCCAGGCCTCCGTCAC